GTCAGCCGAGCTTCTACTGTACCATTTCTGAAATTATTTCCATATTCTCCAAACATGGCTATGACTAGGGCAGAGAATTAAAAGAAAGGCTTCTGGGGTGGGGTGGGGGGATCCATAATCATAGGAGGTAATTAAAAGGGAACAGGAGACAACTGAAGGTGTTCCCTGTAACATAATCTAGAGTGATCTGAGCAATACAATAAACAAAGCAGTATACTTTTAGACAGAGTATTAAATAAACACCTGAGTCAATACTAGCATAAATGAATGATGGAATAAATTAAGAAAGGGAGAAAAGAGTTAATTTCTGTGACTTCCCAAGATTTATGTAGATTCCCTGGCCTCAAGGGGGAAATCATCTCTTCCCATACTGGATGTACAAGTGGTTTCTTTCAAAAAGTAGAGCCCACAGGCAGAGTGTCTTCACAGTGGAGAAATCTGATAAACACTTAACCTTGTACAGTATGGTGATGGCCTGAAGCCTTGGTGTGAACTAATGAAATCTCTTTGAATGAATGCAAGATGTTATTATAGGGGAATGGGCATGGGTTATATGGTGGTTTGAATGAATATGGCCCACATAGGTCATATGTTTGAATACTTGGCTCCAGGTGGTGGAACAGTTTGGGAAGGATTAGGGGGTGTGGCCTTGTTGGAGGAGGTGTTTCACTGGGGGCGGGCTTTGAGGCTGCCAGAGCCTCCTTCCATCCCTGCTGTGCTCTCTGCCTCCTGCATGTGGGTGGAAATGTGAGCTCTCAGCAGCTGCTCCAGCGTCCACTGCTTCCTGCTCTGCTCTGCCATCATGGTCTATTTCTTTCAAAAGATGCCTTGGTCATGGTGCTTTATCACAATGACAGAAAAATTCTAATGCATGGTATAAAGAAATCTTCTAATGTATCCTGTAAAAACTATTCTTGGGCTAGGAAGATGGCCCAGTCAGTATTGTGCCTTGTACAAGTCTCCCTTTACATGTTGCTGTGACAAAAACAGCTTAAGGAAGGAAAGGCTGGTTTGGTTTACAGTTCCAGGGTTTGGTTCATCATGGCAGGAAAATCATGCCAGCAAGGATTGTTGAACTGACACTGACCTCCCACCTTCATATACATACAAGTGAACATGCTGAAACACAAGCATGAGCACACATGTAGCATACACAATCTAATTTTCAAAGGGTCTTTATTAAGGTTTGATCCTGAAATCTCTTCTATGTGCTCATGTTTTGAAGGCTTGTTCTTCCTATAGCTGTGCTGTTTCGGAGGTCTGTGGAACCTGCGGTCTTGGGGTCTATGTGGAAGAAGTCCAGAACAAGGGTAGACCTTTGAGTATTGTGTCCAGCTCCTGGTTCCTCACTTCCTTCTTATTCTACTGTAATGGGGACAGCCTCTGCCACACATTCCCGTCAACAGGCAATGGGACGATTCATCATGCCATGCCTTTCCTGCCATGATGAACTAAAACCATGAAGAAGTCAAAATGAGTCCTTTAGATCCTTAGTTGTTTCTGTTGGGTACAGTGCTCAGAGTGATGCAATAGTAACTAATACACTCTTGGAAATGGTCTCTTCTGAGACTCGAGGTAATAACTTAATTGAAACCTCCCATAAAATCAAAAAACTAAATGACATTTACTTCTAACATATAAAAGCATAGAATAAACATTACCATTCCCAAAGGGCATAATGAAGGGACCACAGACCAAAGTAGATGGAAACCCAGCAGGGTAGGGTCCCAATCCTGTAGCTCAATGTCGAATGTCAAGGGGCTTATTGGCTTCACCCCTCCGGCATTGCTTCCTGTACACCTTTCTCTCTCTTGGCCTAGTTTTATTTCCTGTATGTAACTCTCCTTGGCAAATATCCCCCAGCTCTGGCATCTCTAGCACCTTGGGTCTCCACTGCAACCTAGGCTTCATTTCCACAGCTTGATGTAGTAACCTCTCAGAGCCTTCACGCAGCAACTACCCTGACACACACTGCTTGACCTTAGCAGCTCTCAAACCGTGGGCAAAGAATCCTCAGCCTCTTTATAGCTGCATCACTCATGCTTCTGAAACCAGTACTACATGGATGACCTGCCAAATTTGTGGATAATACTGCCAAGTTTGGCTGTCAGCTTGGGATGGACTCTGGCCCCTTTGAACCTCATTAGTAGCAGTTTTTGTTTGCAGTTGCTTTCTAGGAGCAGAAGACTCTTTGGGCCTTTGCCTAAGGTAACAGATGCTAGCTTATCTTAGCTGTTCTATTATATGTATATTACATGTCATACAATATATATTAAAGTAATACACATGCTAGAACACCATCTTGTATACAATTTTACTACCTTAAAAAAGGTAGTAAAAAAAAAGGGTGTTTTTTAAAAGATAGCAAAACTGTACCCAATCCCACAGTGTTACTACTACAAAATGAAATGTGGTAAGAGGTGAAGTCTTAGTGTCCTTAGGATGCTGTTAAAGTTTAATAAAAGCTTTTAAAAGCCCCCAGGATTTTTCCCCCTTGGAAAAGGAGACATATAATGAATAACTTTTTAAAAATTAGCCTATGTGCCAAGAACACTGTCTTATTGCTTAGAAATATTGTGGACACACCATTGGAGAAGTGAAGGGGTGGATAGCAAGGGCAAGGCGGGGCCTGGACAGGAGCCCTGGACCTGTTGGGGAAGTGGGATGGGGTGGGTGAGAAAGGGAGGCAGGGGTGTAGAAAGAGATGCCAGGGTCAAGGCTTTGCAGAAAAACTCCAGGACCTCTTTGCATCTTCCTTTCCCCCGGCCTTCTTGCCTCCACTGGGCATACATTGCCTGTTGCCAAGGTTTTGGGACACCAACATTTTCTGTTTGGTAATAAGGACGACAGTATCAACTTTAGTGATGGTGAAGGTAGCAGTATTTCCATACATTTCCTCCAAGCATCTAGAAGTTGGAGATAGTGCCTCATAATAAGAAAAAATATCAAGGAGAAGGACTAGGCTTAAGGAGGTCTGTATAAAAGCTTCTGGTCTATTTACATTGATATATAGTAATCAAGTAAACCCTACTGACAGTCGAATCAATTTGAAATCTGCCTAGTGCACATACCAACAAACTCTTCTCTCCTCTCTCTGCTCACCTTTAATCTATAACCACAGGACCCTAATAGAGTGGGGGGATCTCTGACCCCCCACTGCCTTCTGGAAAAAAAACCCTATGGATTTGGGGCGTAGTGGTTATTAAATGAGATTGTTGTTCTTGCAGAGGACTGGAGTTTCGTTTCCATACCTGATGTACTCTTCTATCTACTACTGGTACATGCATACAATGGTGCTAACGCACACACACACACACACACACACACACACACACACACACACCCCTATATGTATGTATATTTAATCCATAGATTTAACACAAACTCTATGCCGAAAATGGTTGCTGCAAACATGTCTGCTTTAGGGAATGGACTCTTTAGGAACCCAGGAGTAGGCATATCAGGCATTTTGTCATAGAGTACAATCCTTAATTACCTCAAAGGCAGGTTGCTAGGCTTGCAAGAAGCAAGTAAGGATAACTCGGGATGACTGTCCTTATGGGCACTGATCCATGGGTCTCGGATTGTGAATGAGTTACTGGGAGGGACCAATAGGGGAAGATATTTGAATTGACTTGTTTAAATGATTTGATTTATTGCCTGTTGAGCCATTTCTTTGTCTTGGGGATTTTATCTATCTATCTATTTATTTTTGAGACTGGGCTTCTCACTAGAACTCACTTTGTAGACCAGGCTGGCCTTGAAGTCACAGAGATCCACCTGCCTCTGTCTCTGCTTCCGAGTAATGGAATTAAAAGCGTGCTCTAGGACACCCAGCTTTTTCGTCTTGGGGGATTTTAATAAAGCCAAAGCAGAGTGTTCAATGACTGAGTTTAGCAATTGAGTTGGAAGAGACTCAGGGGTGGCTGAAGATCAGCAGCTCCCAGTGCCTTTGGAAGGCAGGTGGGCATAACACAAACTTCTTTTTGGATCCGATGGTGAGCTTGATATTTATGGACCCCATGACCCATGTGTTTGTGATACGCATTCAATAAATTTTATCTAAGAAATTAATTCAGGCTAGAGGGCTGAGACGCACACCTATAATCGCAGCACTTGGGAGTCCGAAGCAGGAGGATTCTGAATTCTGGACCACCTCACATCAAGATTCACAGGCAGACTGCACAGCATCACAATCTACACAACAAAGGTCGTGTGTTTTTTTCCTCTGGCAAACCGCTCAGTTTTATCTTTCTTTATCCTGGAAATTTTATTGACACAAGATAATTGCAATGACCTTCATTGTGGCATACATTCATACATGCATACAGTATACTTGGATCATAGTCAACCGCTATCTACTCCCTGCAAACAAATGGTTCCTCTTTTGCCTCCATGGCACCTTTAACCATGATTTGTCCTACATCTCTATGATTAGCAACACCTTTATGATAATATGCGCTTTATCTTTAAAAAAGAAAAAAGAAACTGCTGTCGATGCTAAGAAAAGTGTTGCCGATTCACTGGCAGTGCTTGGGATCACTTTCCTGTCCTGTTGCAACTTAAGCAAAAAGAACACCTCGGAAGTCCGGGCAACTGCTCATTGACAGATCCATCAACTACAACTAGCCAGTTCTTCAGATCGGACAGCGCGGGTCCACAGCATCGCCCTCCGCTGTAATAGGAGGGCGCCAGCGCCCGAGGGCTACTGTCGCACCTCCGCGACCTGCGAGCCCCAACCGCAGATCAGAGCTGGCAAACACATCGGTCTGCGCGTGCGCGCTCCGCGCTATCCGCGGCGCCCGCCCTTCCCTTCTTGGTTGACACTGTCTTAGAAAACTCAGGCACCGCACTGCGCCTGCGGGAAAGGAGGAGGAGGAGGAGGAGGGCGGGGTCTGGTTGTGGGCGGAGCCGGAGGCCAGGACGGAGCCGCGCGAGCGCAGTGGCTCAGCGGGCAGGAAGCGGAGCGCGCGGGGGCGGGGCGGGCGCGCGGGGGCGGGGCTCGGGCCGCCGCGCATTGTGCAGCGGCTGGCCGGCGCGGCAGGCCCTGGACCCGTGTGGTTCCCGGGCATGGTGAGCAAGGGGCTGCTGCGCCTGGTCTCTTCAGTCAACCGCAGGAGGATGAAGCTGCTGCTGGGCATCGCGCTGCTCGCCTACGCCGCCTGTGAGTGCGCGCGCGGTGGGCGGAAGCCCATTCATTCCCGCGCGGCGGCGGGGGACGGGTGCTGCGGCCGAGCGGCGGACTATGCAGGGCCGGGAGCCGGGTCCCGGCTTCCACGAGGCTGCACTTGTGCCGTGGAGCCGCTGTTGCTTTGCTTGCAGCGCATCTCCGCGTAGGCCCGCCGTCCGACCTGGTGGCCGGTGGTGGGGCCTTTGCCCCGGACGCGGTGGTCACGCTCCGTGAGCCGTAGACACTGCGGACTCGACCGACCTCGTTGCCCCCGGCAGCTCATACTGGCCACGGTGTTCAAGGCGTCCGGGGAGCCCGCTCGGTCCCGGCTAGCGATTCTGGAAAGTGCCGCTCGGGAACACCCTGGGAGACGGTGCTGGCTAAGTAGGATAAAAATACTGTTACCATTGGCAGGGTCCCCGCTCTGACTGTTTGCTGTGCAGGAAAATTACTCAGCATTTAACTCTAGGGGGGGGGAGCCGAGTGTTGCCATACCCCGAGGAGGATGCGGTGTTGCCATGCTCCGGTGTTCAGGCCCTCCGCCCCCTCCTCCCTCCCCCCGCCCCTCATTCCGTGCCAGGTACTCCTGGTGGGACTAGGGCCAAGCAAGCCCGGGAAGGAGGCACAGCATAGAGGACTGGGCAGGGCGGGTGTCATTTGGGTCCTCACAGCCTGTGAAGGCAGGTGAGGGACCCTCGGCTTATCAGAGGAGGCAAAGTCCTATTTTATTTTATTTTGTTGTTTTTGAGCTATACAGTGGGGGATATAATAGCTGCTATTAATACTTTACCAAGTACTAAAATTGGGCTAAGACTAGCTCTCAGTGTGAGCTGCTTCTAAACCCTGGCCACCTTGGCAGACATACTCAAATGAAACCTGGTAAGTGATGGAGTTTCCAGGCTCTGATTCCCAGGTGAGTAGGTACTTAAGAAAGTGATGGGTTGAAGGTGCTAGTTGGATGCAGTCTGCCTGCTCAGCTGATCCAGGAGGAGGAGCCAGGACGCTCTGGAAAGGCTTCTGGTTGCTAGGAGAAGTTTTAAGTCTGGATTGCTTGGTAGACCTGATTGGTTTCTGGAGGGAAGGGAGAACTAGCCTCAAGTGTGATCTGTATTGAAAAGAACTCACATCCAAGAAAAAGATCCCTTCCTGCTGATTAATTATTATTATGGTAATAGTAATGCCTACGTTAGCTGAGTGCTTAACTGTATGTGCAGGTGTGATTCTTATCCTGCCACCGCCGCCACAGTTGATTATTTCACATACCTTAAGATGTGGGTAATATGATGATTACTACTAATTTATGGGGGAGAAAGTTTAGAGCAGGAGAAATCAGCCTGAGTTAATGTTCATTCCAGCCCCCCAAAGGCTTAGATCTGGAGCTTAGAACTCAGGTCCTTGGACACAATTTCAGTGTTGATTTACTTACGGAGGGCTTCTATGGTGAGGCGTTGGCGTTTAGAATTAAGTAGGGGATTTCTGGAGCATGAGTTTTTGCCAGCCGTTCAGCCCCGCCAGCACGTTTCGCTCGGTCTTGAACGTTGTCAGTTGTTGAACGTGGCGGCAGCAAAGGCACAGCGTGAGTGCAGGCTTTTGCTTTGGTGCTACCCAACCTGGACCCAGTCATTCAGCACAGGCTTCCCACGCTTTAGTGCATCAGAGTCACCCGGTGCGGTTTTTAAAAACTGTTTTATATTCATTCGGCAGCTCTGGGATGTGGCCTGAAGGTTTTCCACTTCTAATAGCTTCTCCTAAGATGCTGTTGTTGTGGTGTAGAGAATTTTTGTTTTGTTTTGGTTTGGTTTAGTTTCACCCCATGGTCCAGGGTAGCCTCAGATTCTTGGTAACCCAGATGTCCTTCTGAGGGAGATCCTGCTTTGAAAGCCATTTGCCAGGAAGAGAAGGGCATGGATCCAGTACTCCTGCAAATAAGGTTAAGTCCGCAAACTGACGTGACAGGAGGGAATGCTCAAAGTGTAGGGCAGGGACTCCCAAGTGAGAGCCCTCACGGATACTGGTTTCCCTGACAAACCAGGGGGTGAGCTCAGAATGAAGGATATGTAGGAGCTAGCAGGAGGAAATGCTTCCCAGAGAAAGCAGTGCTTGCAGAGGTGCTGGGGCGATGAGGAGCGAACAGTAAGTCTAGTAACTCAAGGAAGAGTAGTGTTCTGGGAATGTGGAATCCCAGCACAACAAAAGCTACCTAGACCTGCAAGCTCTAGCTAGCTCGCCATCGAAGTCTTGGTCCAGCTCAGCAAGTGGGTGCTGAGTGTAGCTCTGAGGATTTAAAGACTAGGTTGGAGACCGTATTAATGATGAGTAGTAATGATAAGTCTGAGTTGCTTTACCAGGAAGATGTTACAGGGCTTCCTATGGGTTCCATCAGAGGATGCTGAAAACATAGTCTGTGGCAGCACCTGTGATTTCTTTTCGAATAGAATATCTTTTATTTGTTCTGTGGCAATTTCACACATGTAAACAATGTATCCTGATCCTGTACACCCCCCTCTCTCCTAGATATCCCCAACCCTGTTACATTTTGTTGTTGTCTTTAGTAATGCTCTAAGTCAAGGTAGTGCTGACTGGTTGGAATGTTGACCCATCCTGTTGACTTGGTCTTGCATAGGTAACCATAGCTGAATGAGCTCATGGGTATAGTGGTTATGTCGTATCCGAAAGACAGCACTCCTTCCTATCCATCAGCCCTTTGGTTTGTTCTTCCTCCTGTTTTCTAAGGTGCTCCCTGAGTGTTGGGGAGGAGTGATGTAGATATTTAGAACTGAGCACTCGACAGACACTCATGTCAGCAGGTTGGCCAGATCTCTTCATTAACACCGAGAGAAGCTTCTCTGGCCAAGGTTAAGGGCAACCCTGACCTGTGGGTCTGAACATAAGTACTTACAAGCAGTTTGACAACATGTCCTTTTAGCAGAACACATTGCAGCATTGGGTTCAGCCCTGGAGCCTGCAACCTTCTGAGCTGTGGTCTTTTAGCCAGCTTTATAGCAGTAGGCCTGGATTCATTCTTGTGGGTCAGGTTTCAGACCAATCCAAAGCAGTCAGTTGCCCTCTATAACTTTTGTGACATCATTGCAACTCTGGGCGCATCTTGCCTGGAAGGTGGGTATTACATATATAGCATGAGGGTTACCTGTGAGAACACATCAATGACTTTTCACCCCCCCAGTGGCCTGTGTAACACCTTTTGCCACAATGAAAGCTGGCCCGCAGAGGGGACTTTTTCATATTGATTCCAACTTGATTTCTCTGTGTCCCGCAGCCAAGTGTGTTGTCCTCAGCAGGGAAGATTTATTGACTAGTCCTGGTATGCCTTTGGTTCCTAATCTCTGTTTCTCCTTTTTAATAACCCTGCCCCCCATTACAATAGAACACCCCTGTTACCTCTGTGTGACAGTACACAAACACACACAATTACAGCACTATCACCTTCAGTCTGCTTTCTAGAGATGTTCTTTGTGTTCTGCCAGCAGAGCTCAAGTTCTCTGAGCCCTGGTCTTTCTCCTAGCCTTTGCGCCTGCTGTGGCCAACCTGCTGTCCTCGCCCTCATGTACCTTCCGTACCAGGGCAGTGAGTATGTGTCACCCTAGACTGAGTCAGTGTTGCACTTGAGTTCTTCTTCATGCATGCAGATAGATGTTTTTTATCTGCACAGCGTTCCCTAGCCCAGGCGGTACTTCAGGCAGTGCGCATTGAGAGAGCCCAAGGGAACGAGCTGAAATTCACTACAACCTTCCATGTACCTGGCAGAGGTTCAGAATGCTTGCCAGTGGTGCCTTCGGTGTTCACCCTGGATAGAAGCGGAGAAGATCTGATGAGTCTCTACAAGGTCTCAGGTCAGACAACCTCTGCAAGGTGTGACCCAGCAGCCTCCTCTGTCACCATTCCCCCAGCACTTATCACCAGGCACCCTGCTTTGGGCTCCAGCAGCCTCCTCTGTCACCATTCCCCCAGCACTCATCACCAGGCTCCCCGCTTTGGGCTCCTGATTTTGGTGGTTTGGGTCTTCCTGGACTTCTGAATCCTGTGCGTCTTCATTTTTCCAGATGGAACTGTAACTCGTGCCTTCATTCTTTAGAAAGTGGTCTGGCGTTGGCTGTCTTCCCCCTCCACCGTGCTGTTGCTGAGCCCACCCCCATGCCCACACAGTATATTTGAGATCATTTGTTGTTTACATGCATGACTAAATGCATGCCCTGTGTTTTTGTTGTTGGCTGTCTCCCCTCTCCCCTTTTAAATGTGTTTTCTCTCTCTGTATTGTGACTGATCCAATGTGATTTTTTTTTTATTTCTTTTTTTGCCAGTTGTCTTTGTCCAGGCTGCTTGTAAGTATTAGGGCATTCTCGTGTTGGTACCTTCCAGAGATGTGGCTGGGGATAGGCTGCCAGCCTCAATGGTCCCGTCTGCCTGGCTCTGCCTACACTTGGGAACTTTGACACTTTATCCACAGGGACTTTTCTGTGTTCGTATTTAGGGGCTAAATGAAGGTGGAATTCCAGAAAAGCATCTTTTCAGAGTTTGGAAGCATTGTCTGTTCCTTCCCAACTTTTAGTATTGTTTGAGAAGCGTGGAGCCAGTTTTGATGTTCCCGGAAGATGTCAGGCTTTGCCCTGTACCCTGGTAGTCACTGTTTCTAGTCTACTGTCTCTTCTCTGGTAGCACTTTCTCTCTTCTTGGTGGCCTTGAACAATGGTCACGTTCACGGCCTGCCCAGGACAGAACAAGAATGCTGACCCTCACCTTTGGGCTTGTGTTCTGGTGTGAAAGCAAGCTAAGTTGTTGCTGTGGTTTTCTCTTCCTCTGTCATGGCAATTAGCTGTGGCTTAAACGATGGAGCAATTCAGTTCCTCTCCATCTTGATTTTGAGCTCTCACTGAACCTGGAGTTCACTGATATGGCTAGACTGACTGGTCAGCAAGCCCTCGGTCAGATCCTCCTGTCTCTGCCTCCCTAGTGTTGGGATTCTATAGACCTGCACT